AGTGAAATAAATAGAAAATAATAAATAGGTAACAAGTTTGGTAACCATTTTTTTTAATAACCTCTCTGACTTGCTTTAGTATACTGTGGTAGACTTTGAGACCTATTTTTTCCTCCAATTCAGCAGCAATCTTTCTGAGAGACTATTCTGGTATTTCTTGAAGGGTGATAATATGGATTCAGTTATCTTGCAGGGTTTCTCACTCAAAGCGTTGGTCCTTCTTTATTAAAGATTGTTACTGTTCAATATTTTATGGATTGATTGCTAAATTATTTTTATTATTATTATCTTAATAATATGTACTTAGTTATTTAATCAGACTACTTATGCTCACAGCTCTGAATTCCTTTTACCTGCATATTGCCTTCTAGAATTTTTCCAACAGGCCATGAGAGACTCTGTCAGTATCACAGGAGGGGGGTTGGTAGTGGAGGTGTGATTGTGCAGAGGGTGGTTGTAATTGTGTCGCACTACTTCCTTCTCCCCCTCGTACAGTACTTCATGTGTCTGATCCACTTCTTGTCCCCACCATATGCAATCATGTACCACAGACTATTAAGCCACAACTGGACCTAAGATCAGTCATTCGATTAGACTGGGCAGCATGTTTAGTGCAAGAGCTTAAAAGACCAGATTGTGTCACCATAAATTCCGGAATTTGCATCGAACCTGCTCTTTTTTTCCGTGGCTCTACTCCGTATATACTCACCAAGCCAACAATCCATATTCGATAGGAGTTTACCTGTTTGCGGAGAGACCCGGCTACCCCGCAGAGTCATAGCTTGGGACTAATTAATTTACGTAACGTTCGTTTCTCGGAGATGGTCGTTTGAGCCCTACGGATGCGGTTTGCGCGGATAAGAGCCAGAGCCTCGTCATGGAATAGGAAATTGCAGTGCCTGGCGGTTCCTAGGATCCGGTAGGCGGGTAGACATTGTATCCGTTGAGCTCAAAATCTGTAAGACTGTTAAACTAGTACAAGTATATCGAGGCAACCAATTTCAAAAGAACTCACTATCTGAATAGCAGTAGTGTAACGGAGGAGGCGATGTCGAGTAACGCTGGTTCTGGTAATGTCGAGGGTAGGGGCCGGTCGGTGTTGGGGGTGGACTTGCACAGTTTTGCGGTTGGTTCGGAGATGCAGAGAAGTGGGTTGCCCCGGCTAGGGGGGTGAATAGCTATCAGATCTAAACCTGTACTCGAGTAGGTATGATAGGAAGACACCACGAGAAGGAAAACCCTCACACTCATCTGCTCTCGCCTGCGCTCTATACGGATATGATATACCTATGATACGAACATATATGGGACTTTACACCGGGAGAGGCTTTCGCCTAGCTGGAATCACCATCTTCGGAAATCACCTAGCCCTGGAGGTTGGTTGCTGGGACAGTGATTTATTCGAGACTTGTAAGTTTGTAGTCCAATGACACCTACGTGTAACTGCTGGGGGTGATCCTTCCTATTGTTATTCACCAGAACCACCGCTGGGTAATCATATGTTTCCTTTCCTTCCTGCACACTTCCCCACCGTTACCAACCTTTCGCATAGCGGGGGGAGAAGAATTATGTGTAGAAGTGGGAGGGAAATGTATGTAAGGATATCCGATGGTTGCCACAATCCTCCGTTTCTCTGGCTCACCCGACTACCCTTTTACAATAAATGAGAACCCCCACCGCCACTCCTGTGTAAATACTAGTCCTCCTTTCATACCACTCATCTGTGCTAATATCCCAGGAACACCAATCTTTCGTTCCGGCTGTTCCTTCCCCCACGTGCCATCAGGGAACACCAATCCCACGCACCTTCAACTCCACACTTCCCACATACAACGACAACCGGAAAACCGAACTAGGTAGAGCAAGATAAATGGTGCACCAATTCCGACGAAAGGGGTGTCCGATTCCACGGACGGCGGGACTTTTCCCCTTTCTCATGGGGCCGTGTCCCCGACTTTTGGTTCCTCCCGTCTAGATGAATAACACCTCTGGTTTGCATACTTTGTTTTCCCTCGTGCTAGATATATAAGGCACTGTTTTCACCCCCCAGTTCGGTTCGCCGGAGTGTGATAAGTTCATATTCTCGCCTAAATAGTCGCGCCCAACCGGATCATCAGAATGAGAGGAGGAAATAATTTTGGATGGGGAACTTTTAGGGTGAGCGGCGCTTACGGAGCCATGCTGTCCGGAAGAAGGGAGGAGGAAATGCAGGGCGAGATCAAAGTTCGTGATGATATTGACGAGGTGGGGGAAAACAGCTTGATAATCAGATAATAATGGTTATAGCGCAGGTAATTTATGGGCAATACATATCAAGTAATATGAAATTTCCCAGCATCAGCACTACTCTCAATGTTGTGAACCTGTGATAATGTTTTTCATTTCTCCCGGTGTTGAAGGTCTGCACCGGTCCAAGATAGCTGCAGATCTTGCATTGTAGTGGCGCCTATTTGCGGTTATCTGCCGGTATTTGAAGACATTTTTAGGATTCGCAGGATATTTACAGATATCTACGGGGATCTGAGGGAATTGCGATCATCTTCATACATCTTCTACGCATTGGCAAAATATTTACTAACTACTCGGCGCATACCGGGCCCACCGGTGCTGCCGGACGCCCACAAAAGTTGGCCTACGAAAGTCCGGGTTGCTCTCGCCTGGCCTCACTGTATATCCATACGATATCTGCGGGCCTGCCTAGACGCTCGCGAACGCTGCTCTTGCATGCCTTCTTTTCCCAACTTCTCTTCCTTCCTCTTCTCCCCGTTATCTTTTCCACTTTTCTTTCGTTCACTCCACCTCACTTCCGCTTCCCACTTGGATTCTCCTCCTCGTTACTCACGCCTTCCCAATTGTTGCTTTCCCCTTCGAACTGCCTCGCTATTCTAGGCTTCAAACCTCTCTTCCAGTTTTTTTCAGATTTTTTTTTAGACGGGATAATGCGCTACCCCACATGCACCGCTGAATATAGCCCACATCATCTCGTAAACGCGAAATAAAAATAATAACTACAAACTTCTTGAGACATGAGTTAAATCTGTGTGATTGTAATAGACGAGTGGTCCCCAATGTTTTGCGCTACATTAGACAACTCGCGGTCTCTGACCCATCGCACTGTCCTTGGGATAGCTGAAGCATGGCGGACTTTCTGACACTTGTTGGGGAATTGGGGTGGTCTGCAGTCCCCTTAATGGGGCAGTTATTTAGTCCCGTAGGCAGAAGGTGGGCAGGTTGTGATTTATGGCCCGTTCGGTGAAGGATATGGCATCGGGCCCATGGCGGAAAGGGAGCGATAGGTGTACTATGGATCGTTTTAATGTCTGAGAATGTACTCGAGTAGGGTCTAGGAGACAGGCGGCACATGGGAGGCGGGTGGGTAACTCGGATTGTATCATGGCATTATTGAGACGATACATGGTTGAGTGAGTACAAACGAGTGACCTCTCATGATTATCTGTGGGGATGGGTGGTCAAAGAGCTTATCGGGTGGGAAGGATGCGACGTTATTTCCTATCGCCTAGAAGAGAAAGGAAACGATAGAGATTAAAATACTAAAAAGAAGGTAGAAATACCCAACACTTCCTCTCTACTACAGTACATTTCGGCAGCTCCACACACATGGCCACTTTCTAGTTTGCCACCCCTCCGAGTCCTGCACGATCTGCCGTTGTTCTCTCGAAGATACTTACGGTCTCTCCCACGGGTTGAAGCTAGTAGTAGGCCACTACCGTCACATATGCTTCAGCCTATTTCTATGCGTTACCGATAGGAGTGGGATGAGGGCAGTTGAAGGAAAGGGGGATGGGGCAACTTTCTGTTCTATGCTGTTCTGGTGACTTTCTTGGTTTTTATCTAGCTATCGGGCACGGTGGTGGTGGTCTATATATAAAAATGTAGTTCTCACCTCATGAAGGCAGAGTTTCTCCCTTACTCCTTTTTTTCCGGGTATCGGGCCGGCTCCTTTCTGGCTGTATGCACTGGTCAGCGATAATAGGGTTATAAAATTGGATTGAACTCCTTGACAGAGTATATCCTTCAAGTCACTGGCGCAGTAGCGACACGATGTGAAGATAGCAATATCAATTACTATAAGTTTGTATTTCAAGCTTCGCTATTGTAAAGAATTCTAAACCAAAGAGAGTCTCCCCCGTATTTATACGCGGGTTTAAACCAGCTTGGAATAAAGAATATACCCAGTCTACCGCAAAAAAACAGTATATTCGGAAAGGAAAAAGGAAAACTAATTAATAGGGTATGACCGTATTTTAACAATTATTTAATTAGTCTCAGTGCTGCCAAACCTCGAATTACTGAGTACCGAGCAGGGAAAGTTTCTTTTCTTCTCTTTGCCGGCCAAGATCTGAGAGCCGAGGAAGACCATGAACCTACGAGAAATGCCAATCAACTGCCTTCCCGCGTCACATACCCCTCGGGCAACATAGAAAAAAATTGTTGAGACATGGGGGAAATAGTGGTAAAGACGAAAGAATTTGATGTCCAGGGACCACAGGACTGCCAAAAAGATGCCCCTGAGCACCGGTAATTCCCAACACAGGCAGGGCTGCCTGCAGTGCGATGGGTCACGATGCGGAGCTGTCGCCCTTGCGGAAGGCTACTCTGCGCCGCAAATAACCCAGAACACGGCGAGAGAATTGTTGTCGCGTATCCACTGGGTTTCCTAGCAGTGTCCGCCCCGCGCGCCGCTCAATTGTCACTGAATCGCTACCCTCTGCTTGAATTCGTAACACCGCAGCCAGATTGTTGGCAATTCGTTGGGTTTTGGGGTGGTCTGGCCCAAGAATCCTCCTGCGCCCCTCAAGTGCACGCCGGTACATCGTCTCCGATTCCTTGTACTTTCCTTGGCTTTGAAGCACACGAGCCAGGTTACTAACACTTATTAGGGTGTCTGGATGGTCTGGTCCAAGAATCCTGTCGCAACCCTCTAGTTCTCGCCGGTGCATCGTCCCTGATTCATCGTACTTTCCCTGATATCTCAGCACAGTAGCCAGGTTGTTGACACTTGTTAGGGTGTCTGGGTGGTCTGGTCCAAGAATCCGCTCATACCCTTCCAGTGCCCGCCGATTAATCATCTCTGATTCATCGTACTTTCCTTGTTGTTGCAGCAGGATAGCCAGGTTGTCGACACTTGTTAGGGTATCTGGGTGGTCTGGCCCAAGAATCTTCTCGCGCCCCTCCAGTGCACGCCGATGCATCGTCTCTGATTCATCGTAGTTTCCTTGGTATCTCAGCATGATAGCTAGGTTGTGGACACTTGTTAGGGTGCTTCGGTGGTCCGGCCCAACAATATTCACGCACCCCTCCAGTGCACGCCGGTGCATTGCCTCTGATTCATGATACTTTCCCTGGTATCGCAGCACAGTGGCTAGGTTGTTGACACTTGATAGTGTACTTGGGTGGTCTGGTCCAACGATCTTCTCAAACCCCTCCAGTGCACGCCGATTGACCGTTCCCGATTCATCGTACCTTCCACGAAGCCGTAGCACTAGAGCTAGGTAGTGGAAAACCTCGAGGACTATGGGGTTATTTGGGCTCAATGATTCCTTAATATCCTCCAATAAATTCCGAAGCATCCTCTCTGCCACATTTGCCTTTCCTTGATATGCGCTTACAGCCCCCAGGAGCGTGACCCTCCTCGCACCTTTCTCATCCCAGCCATACCCTTTACTTCCTTCCCGCAGTGCCATACATCGACGCAATTGAACTTCTGCGTCATTGTAGAAACCCATATCTATGAAGTACTGTCCCAGGCGAAACAAAGCTCTTCAGCAATGGGATCCGTTGAATGTTTGGTTACTGCAAGTACATGTGGAATGTACGTGGAACCAACATATATCCAAGTGCACCAATGCCGAGGGAACAACCTTGAAACCACTCCCAGCGCAGTAGCCCTCCATCGATTCAACTCCTCTGTTGATAAGTACACTTGCAAAGACAGTTGGACCAACCGATGGAGATCATAAAACGTCTTGTCCTGATTTTTGACAGTCGTAACTAGCGAAAATCCCAACAGTTTTCCCATGGCCCGACGAAACTAGATTGGATCATCCGTCCCTTCCAAACCACTTTGGCTCAATAGCTCCTCCGGTATGTTCTGATGATCGAAGAAGGCGATTAAACGTAGAAGTTCCCCTGCTAGGGGCATCTGCCGTGTGATTCGGTCAAAGGTGATAAAGTAGGTAGCTAGGGTGCTTTCGGTCATATCCCCCTCTCGTTGGATGTCGCAAAATGGCTGCGAAAGGAGTCTCTTGGCTTGCTCGTCGCTTCCCCGGAAAATGGTCCAGTATTCAGAGGGCGGTGTCTGGGTTTCCGCCATGAAGGCTGCTGCTCCTACAATAGCCAGCGGGATGTGATGTACGAAGTCTAGGATCATTGAGATGGCCTCTTTGTCTGCACCTCCCGCGCTGTTCCAGCTACCAAAGCGATTCAAAAATAATGCCTTGGCCTCATCCTCCTCCATTTTTCCGACATGGATCCCTTCGCAACCCTGCTGGGATGCAACCCGGAGTGATCTGGTGGTGAATATTAGAGTACCTCTTTGGCCTCGGGGTACAAATTTGGAGATGGGAGCGGTGTTGCTGTTAAAGTCCTCCTCGTTGTCGGCATTGTCGATAACCAGTATCCAATCGCCACTTTCTGGACCTTCAAACCACCTCCTTATATTTGATAGGAATCCCTCCCGGTCCTTCTCGGCGCTGGCTACTGGAATTCGAACTTGCTGCGCAATAGCTCTGAAACCCTCACTGAATTTTAATACCCCACTCCCGTCCACCCAGAAAACATCACAATCTCTCTCGCTTGCGCGCTGATAAACGTATTCTAGGGCAATCTGGGTTTTTCTAAGTAGTGTTAGCAAACCACGGAAATGCTTATAGCAATAATGAATACACACCCAGAACCGCCTAATCCATGAAGCGCTATCCGGTTCTGGCCGCCACGCTCGGAAAGCCTCTTTATCGACTCAATGAGATCTTTACGGCCAGTGAACTTGCTGTTTCTGCAATAGGGAATTATCCGATAAGGCCTAGATGACTCTTCTGTTTGCAATAGCACATTAGCTCATTCCCGGAAATCTCCCGGGAAAACATATCATACCTGTGTCCCAAGCTCCAAACACACACCCTTGATATGTCTGTCCGAGATTGGTGAGGTTGCTTAGGTTTCCCGCGGTTAAGTTATTATTACTACCAAAAACATTACAATCCCCTGAATTCCCGCTGAAGTCTCCACTGATATCGGCTAGCGTTTTTCTGCTATGATTGTTAGGCCGGTGCTTATTATTTTTGGAATTGGAGACATTGAGGGGGAAAGGGAGCCCACCGATCCATCAAGTGCTCGCGTATTCAACCAAATTTGGAGGCGTTTTCGGATGTCGGGTAGTAGAATAAATAACAAGCGGTCACCAGAGGATCTGGGATGGAAAAGGTAGGTTATTTGTCGCTAATCGAGGTATGTATGATGGCTCAGAATCGTTTCGCACGACCTAAAACAAGTCAGTAAGACGGGAATATGGGTATACTGTGTAGCCGAGGACCCAACCTCGGATATGGAGATGGATAGTTCTGTGGTTTTGCTGCAACTATGGGATGTACAGTACTCCTACCACGAGCTATTCGGACTCGGTGAGGCGTAAGGAAATAGGATGGGTATCAGAGCGAGAGCGTCTCGGGGCAGTGATGACGATGGAAACTCACTCTAAGGAACTCAGAAGCCTTAGCAGCGCGGGCGGGGAAGATGGCGGAGAAAAGCAAAGCACACTCTACTGTACCCCCACCAGATATCTGGCTTCCTGGTACTCGAGTAGTCTGGGAAACGTCCCGCCGGTTAGTTGGACCTTGGGTGCCGGTTAAGGCAGTGATTGGCATTTGGCGCATGTCTCGTTACGCCGCAGGATACGGGAGACGATAAGCTGCCAACAGCCCCCCCGGCTGCGTCCTCAAGGCGGGCGCACATGTTGGAATATCGGCACTGGCATCCCATCAGCTGAAGCCTTTGAGCCTACTAAATGATGCCGATATCACACACGAATAGTTTTGCTTCGCCCATGGGTGGAGGAAGCCTTCGCCGCTTACCAGCCTCCTTTCTAGATAAGGGCAGCCCTGTCGCCATGGCGAAACAAGCGCATGATCCTACCCCAAAAACCGATCAGGCGTCTAGAATCCGAACTGGCCAGGACCGCCAAGGCGGTGAACAGAAACACAATAGTCTATCCCTGTATTTTAGCGATCATACTTGTAATTTCGTGATGGCCGCGACAACCAGCAGACTTGGGCCACGCACAAAGGTGGAGGACGGGTCTGCAGGAATTCCCGGTGAAAATATGACAAGCACTGTTCCGAGTGCCGCTATCAGTACTGTCGTATTGGAGGTCGCACGGGGCTAGCATGATCGGGGTATCGGTGAATGCCAAGCGAATTGGGTGTGACAACTCAACTCACGGGAAGCACCTACAAACAGGTACCCCCCCACCAATGAGGAGAGAAATGTGGCCAGTTTATGTAGCGTGAGCCTCAACTTACTCAAGCGGATACTTTACTCAAGTACCAAGCATTAAGGCTACGATAAGGTGCAGGGTACCCACAGCACCTAGGCTTGGAGTTAGCTGCCGATGATGCACACACGTCTCTACATCTCTGAAACTTTCGAATCCGAACAGCGGGGGAACCGGGATGATGGCCCACCCCTTACGGGTATGATAAAGTTACAACCCATTTTTCAGCCGGCATGAAAAATTGCCAAGCCACTTCTTGTCTCCTCCTAGATTCCTCTCGTACCGGAGACCCTCCGTCCCACCACCCTAGAATTCTCAGCCTTACATGGGCCGGCCATTCTCTCTCCCGATGCCATAATAGTCCTTTCACATCACGCGTTGGGCATGCATCATTACCCGAGTACTCGCATACCAGTTCAGCTGCGGAATTGCATGTGGGGAGCAGAATCTTAGAAAGCGTGCTGGGGCCGTTCACCCCCTCAGGAGAGACGGATCCCATGAGGATTATTACATTGGGTTGAAAGTTGGAAGATCGTAAGCATAAGCACTGTGGGCGGAGTGGAAAGCCGTCACACTGGGCGCCTCATTTCAGAAGCCAGAACAGGCTGATACGGTTCATTTGCCAACGGCTGCTCTGCCGGTACGAGCACTCGAGTTTGAGTTCCAAGGAGGGCTTTCGCTGGTCGAACCCGGGGGGGTTTGAAGACGGGGTTGAATCGGGGCTTCCGCAAATGGTGATTCAGGGTGGGGTTTCTTCAAGCCTCGGCAACCAAAAGAAGCGGGAAACGTGGAGTGACTTATGGTGCCAAAAATTCGAGCTCGAGCGAGAACTCTATCGGAGAATTAGAACCCAGCATGCATATTTTTCCAAGGGGGCGCTGGAGATACTGTTGAATTTTTTAAGATATTCCGGAGCCCTGGCGCCAAGCCTTTGTGCTTTCGGAGAGCCTCAGGATTAAAGTGTCCGGGTGCTCACGAAATTTTCATGTATGATACAAGGGTGATAATTTTTTCCTTTCTTTAAGGGGGGTTCTATCATAGAACCCCCCTGTCCGACAGACGGGTCCAGAAATGTTTTGATCTTTTTTGATGGAACCCCCCTTCACTTCAACACTGATTCGAGTACGCCCCTACCACAATATAGGATAGCCACAGCACCCTACTCTGACTTGGTCTCCGGGGGAGAGTTGTGCCGGCAGGCAGGCCCACCCCCCCTGTCCATTGTTCGCGAGATCGGACAGTTAAAAAAGTGGCAGTGTAAAAGTTCATCCGATAGGGTGCACGATAAGAATCTAGTGGGATTTCAATTGTATGGGAGAGCACAACCTGCCGGTGTGTCGTTGCTAGATCTGATAATCTTATCATTCTTCATGTGACGGATATATCTCGTCGCCGCACTGGTACAATCGTGCACCGTAGCAAATTGAGTTGTGTAACCATAGTCTTTATTAGTCATACGATCGGACTGGGCCGCACGTTTGGTGCAAAAGCATATTCTCGAGCACCGGTAGGTGATATTGTGACTGTCACCACTCCGAGCCGCCGCCATCGGCATCAGACTGTTATCTCAAGTTTCACCTTACCTAACTGACCGTTGCGTAATACTATCTAGCGCACAGATTATTGAACCGGAGACTGTCAGACATGGGGATGGACTTGAGGGTGCATTGGGACCAATTGTGTGGATAGCCTTGGGGACACGGCCGACAGGTCCTTGGAATTTTTACATATGGTAGACTCCTGCCTGTGATACCGGTAGTGGTCGGCAAGGAGGAACGCTCCCCTCGACAGCCTACCACGGGTATCTCTGACGATTCCAAAAATCCTACAGTTCCCCACCCCTCAATCAGCACGCTCACTCATCATCTATCACTCGACTCCATATACTCGCGATGAAAATTTCCTAGTTTACGGGGACATGCCCACCTCACAGGATCGTGGCTCGGGACCTGTTACGCGACCTTAGTATCCGGGGGATGATTATTTGAGATCTATGAATGCGGTTCGCACAGGTCAGTGCGACAGCCTCGTTTTGGAGTGGGAAACTGCAGTAGCTTACCTGGCGGTTCCCCGCATCTGGGTGAGTAGATGAACATTGTATTAGTCGGGCTCAAAATCGTGGAATAGAAGCTAACCTTTGTCGAACTGGTACTCGAGTGCCGTGTGTCTCGAGGCAACCAATTTCAAATGAGTTCAGCATCAGTAGGGCCTTAGGGTAATGGTGGGGATAATGTGCTCGTACAGTAACGTTGGCTCTGGTAGTGTTGAGCGAGTAGGGTCAGGTTAGTGCGGGCGGCCGACTTGCATGGTTACCCGGTCCGTTCGGAGGTGGAGAGAGGCAAATTCTGCGGTCTATTGAGGGTGGCTAGCTATCATATATAAATACATAGCTGTGATGGGATGACGCCACAAGATGATAAATCCTTGCACTGATTCACGCTCGCCGGCGCTCCACACACATACACTCGCACCCCACCCTCCTTGACCGCGCCGGGCCGGATACTCGGCTGAACAGCTCAAAATATTTGGCTCCTCCGAATTCTCGTAGCACTTCACCCGCCGGGCCGGGAGGCAGACCCTCGCAACAGTATGGCATAGAGGATAGTTGGGTTTGAGATTTTAACTGGTCAGAACTGGTTGGAGGGGATAGGAGATTGGGATTTAGGTGTGGTATGATAGGTGGTGCGCTTGGCGGTACGTTAGGTATTTTGTAAGCCGTGATCGAATGTCGGCACTTCTGGGCACTGGGAGCTTTATGTCTTTTTGAACTGGGGGCTGTAACTAGATTCTGACTCTCCAAAGACCGTCCTTTCTGTGCTTGCTTTCCTTACTCTTCCTGTCCGGAGAACACCTTGACTTTATATACACTTGTGGGATGGCCTCTCGCTTCCAGATAATTCTCCCTCCCATTGGAATACCACGCTTTCTCCTTCTACCCTTCTCTTTGGTGTGTTCTCCAAGGTTCCATCATCTCCGGTCCACCCCACTTTCTTAACCGATCATCTTCCATGCTGCCCCCTCGCCGTCTTCTACTCCCTTGTCCAGCGATATCAAACTAGAATACATTGATATGAAATAATCTCCAGAACCTTCCATCATGCTGACCAACTCACTACTGAGCTTTACAAGCTGTGCGACACCTCCAGAAAAGTCTCCGGTGCCTTCAATGGAGCTGGGGGAAAGTAGTTACTCGTAACACCGGTGATTTGCCATAAGCTAAACACGGAGTGAGAATTCATCCCCTGTCGCTACAGACAGTTAAGACCGCGTTAAAAGTGGGTACTTTCAATGTGCACGGGACGGCCGTCTACAGGTAAGCGGGCCCAAAGCGCAACGTGCGATATCTGTCCGGAGGATTAAATAGGGACGTTCAGTCGTACATGGAAGGGGGATTGTTTCCTCTCCGTCACAATACGAGGTAAGCCGGCATATGTGAAGGGGGAAAAAAGTGACCAGCAGCACTAAATTGCATCGCATTTTTTATTTCACTCAATGAACTGAATGGGTATA